TAAAACAAATAAAGGAAGGATTTTAGCTCTTTGGACTCCATGGATAAGCCAATTACATTGAACATTGGAGTAAAGCTGCATAAAGTAACCAGAGGGAAACTAAACAACTTTCATTTTGTCTTTTCTGTCATGATCTGTGTTTCTGTGTATTTATTTTTAAGGGTTTTCTGTCCTATGAGTCTCTGTTGTCTCTGCGATTTCCCCATTGATTGCTTCCCAGGTGTGTCTAGTTACCTGTTTACCCTCCTTGTGTATTTAAACCCACCTGTTGTCTTTGTCTCTTGTCGCGTCCTTGTCTATGATAGTTCGTCTGCCGGTACAGTTGAACTGTTAAGTCCTGTGTCGGCATTAGCTCTTAATTCAGTTGCTATCGGTGCTGAGCCTCTGTGTTTCTGCTCTGCTGTGCTGCCTGAGATCTGGACTGTTTTTGAGCTACACTCTTCATTAAATTCATCATTTTCTTCTACAACCTGGTTCTTTGCGTCTCTCCTCACCACCACCAACCACTCCACATGACATTTTCCTTCTGATTGTTTGGTCAATTAAATTCAGCTGCTTCTCATGATTTGCTAAAGGGGCAGTATTATGTAGAATCAACTTTTTTGAGCGTTACGTCTTATAATGTTACTCTCTCATGGAAAACATACTTGGAGTGTTGTCTTGACTCTAATGCAAGTTTGAAAAATCATTGAATCTCCTGTGGGAACCATTCGCTGTGTGAATGGTTGAGCCTAGCTCCGCCTTCAATATGGAGCTCCTCCTCTGAACTGCAGTTTCTGGGATTTCAAGCTTTTGCCTCACTAAGCAGACCTCTCCTTCAGCTCCTTCAGACTAGCCAGCAGCATTTGACAAACACCTGGTGGAACTGTTCATCTGCCGAGCTCATTATTCAAGCTTCTTCTCAGTGCAACACTGGTAAAAATGTTGTTAAAGGGTTAATAGAGGAGCCATGTTGTCATGACTTAAGGCGAAGTTTCACAAAGAGCAGGAGTTTCCTAAAGACACAGAGGCCCAGTTTCAAGGTGGTAAATTATGAAGTAAAATTACTTTTAAGTCCATATTTGACATATAGCATTTTCTTTAAAAACTGAAGTGAACATAGTTGCTTGATTATGTTGTAAAATGGCCCAACGTGTCTGGAAAATGCATAAAACTGCCCCTTTAAGAAAAACTTTCTAATGCACTCTTGTTGGGGAGGAAATTTACAATAGCAGGTCATTCAAAATTTTCAAGGAAAATAAAAGAAAAAAAGAGTTGAAAACTTGTAATACTTTCACAGAATAACCAACAAATTTTCTGCATAATCGTTTTCAAACCTTCTTTTGCTTTTTACAGACAAAGCATATTCTTTTTGCCTTTCTTTTTTTTCCTACAAGAAAAAAAAAAATCCAAGACTTTGATCTCAGACTGACTGGCATCTAGAATAAGTCACGTTCCCAAGAGATGATAAAACCCTGGCAGGTAATGTTCCGACAGACTTTCTCTAATACCTCGCGCTCAGAACATTGTGACCAGGGGAGCCTCTTCTCTTAATGAACTCTCGCATATGTCGATACGGCTTAATCCCACGTAAGCATTCGGTGATCCTGTTAGATCTGTGCAAAACAAGCTTTCATTTTTATTCCCTGGAAACAATCTTGTTCCTAGATCGGGCAGACTGTCAGACTTGGCACACACACCCCTCCCCAGGCCACATGGCTTTTACATATGGCACCCAATGTGTGTGACCTCGTTTCACTCCCTGTGTCGCGGCAACTGATGGTGTCGAACAGTCAGCAGCGGTTGTTTTCAGCGCTGTAATTTTTGTGTTTGTTGCTGCTTCTGGTTCACAGATAGTGATAAATCTTGGGAATGTGATAAATAACTTCCCTGCTATCTGCACCACATGTTTGGGTTGACAGCCATCAGTCTGTAGATATATCTAGACCAGGGGTGCCCAAAGTCGGTCCTCCAGGGCCGGCATCCTGCATGTTTTAGTTCTCTCCCTGGTGGTAGCAACAACCTTTTCAGCTTGTCAATGTTCATCTTAGGCCTTCTGTCAGGAACAACTTCCTGGTAACAACACCTGTCTGAACCATCGATCCAGCCCAGTTCACATGACTGATAAACAAACTTTGCAAGAGAGGAAGCAGCCAATCATCAGCTGGCGTTGAGCTTCAAGGAACAGAAAGTCATTGAGGTGTTTCTTGACAACTGTGGATAAACGTGTTAAACCTTCCCAGCAGATGCGACGCCCACGTTTGAACTGGAAGTTATTCATGTTGAGCTTTGAGGTAATATGTTACAATGACCATATTCCTATTTTAATAGCAGTTTATCCTCCTTCCAACAGGCTGCATGAACAATCTTTGGCAGCCCTTCTGGAGATGTAAAGGTTGAAGTAAGGAAGGTTTCACAAAGGATGAATGTATGAAAAGGGTAACGGTTAAGCATAGTGGAGGATCTATGATGCTGCGGTTCCTCTTCCAAACACCCTGGGAACCTTGTTAAAGTGGAATCAAGGATTCTTTCAATTATTGAGTCACTTAAATACAAATATTGTCATTTAAATACAAATAAGGTGGACTCCAGCAATAAACTGTCATTGGGTGTTTCAACATATTGCCAAATCATTGCAGGCAAGGTTCTCCAGAAATCAACCTTCAGCATTTAGATCAGTCTTCTGATCTAAATGCTACAGAAAACTTGAGACAAGTTAAAAAAGAAGAGAGAAAAAGACTTTACCCACTGGATGAGCTTGAGAGAGAAGAGGAATTATTAAATATGCCTCTCTCTGTGTGCTCTAACATTGTGAAATGTCATAGGAGAAAAGTGATGAGCATCAGCGGTAAGTTAGTCTCCTTCATCAACACCTGAGATGTGATGGCAACGGCAGCAACACCAAAAGAAAGTTTAACACTTTTCTGCTTTCTTGTGGCGCATCGCTGGCGTTCGTGTGCACCTCGACATGAAAATTCACAAATTTCAAAATGATTGTCGCTTCTTCGTGCAGAAAACGAATAGAGACGGAGCAACATGTGACTGATCCTTAAGTTCTGTCCTACTGTCACATGTTGCATCTCCTAAATTTGACATTTCGGCCTTCATGAGTAGAATCACAATCTGAATCTTTTCGTCAAAAATGAACTCTAGAGACAGTTGAGAGCTGCCCATTCCTTATACCACAACTTTCTGTATGAATTTCCATAAGGATCAGTGATGAATACGAGACAGAAATCAGAAATGTTTTTTTTAAGTTTCAAAGATTAGTTTTAAAACCTTGATACATAGTTTGTGTAAAGCTGTATTATCCAGGGACTAAACCTCACCTTTAGCTCGAGTGCCTAATCTTAGCATTTACGTTAACCCCCTTAACCTCCTCCGCAGTCATAATCCTGACTGTAACTGATCTAATATTGTTTAAAAAATACTTCAACCTGAGGTATTCAGAGCAAAGACATCAGTGATGAGCAAAACGGCGGCTTTCAGCTCATGGATCAGTAAAGCAGAGTGTACAGTTGGTTCGTTGCATATAATCCCAGCTCAGTTAACTGTAAATGCACCAGTTTTCAGTGTTTTTTGGAGGTTTCAAACAATAATTACAAGTTCCAGTAGCTGTCACTGTTGACATAAAAACCGTCAAGAAAATCATAAAACACTTTTATTTTTGACCCCATTGGGCATAGGTAGAACTAAAAGATCTAAGACTTGTTCTACGTACACAAAAATACTGTCTAAATCAAGCGAGATAACCATAATTATTGCCCATAATTTAGTTGAGGTTAACTTTAACTATGAGAAGCTGTAAGAATATCTTATGATGGTGTATCAGGACCATTGCAGAAAAATCTAGAAAAGAACATTCCAAGTTTGCAAAGTCAAAAATTTGATGGAAAAAAATAAGACTGAAATATGGAAATTTCTGGGTTTGAAATGTGAAAGTTTGCAAAAAAACAAAAACAAAACAAAAATATCAGAAATATCCATGTATTTTCAAAAAAACAAAGATACATTTTTGGCAGAAATTTACTCTCTTTAATCCATCTACAATGCCCCTAATACGCTGTTCTAATGGTCTGTTCCAAACTCATAGACTTCACATATATACAAATTTATTTCAAGCCTTTATTTCTTGTCATTTTGATGATTACGACTTGCAAGTTAAAACCCAAAATTTAGTCTCAGAAAATTAGAAAATTGACCAAAAGTTAAATATTGAAAACTCATAATGTCGCATCCTAATCCGCAGATTAACTCAAAACACCTGCAAAGGTTTACCGAGTCAGAAAGTTGAGTGGAAGGAAGAACTGTGATAGAGAAATGTGCAGCAGCAACAGGGATAAAAAACAATCTTGAGAGGACAGTCGAACAAAATTCATTCAAGAGGATTACGGAGCTTCACAAGGAGTGTATTGAGGATGGAATCAAGATTGTGCACAGATTTAAAAATTCATGCACAAGGAATAACTGTTTAATATATATATATATATATATATATATATATATATATATATATATATATATAACTATATATATATATATAGTTATATCAATATTTTTTATTGATCTGAAGTAACATAAATTGATTCTCATTTTTCATTTATAAGCCACAATTATCACAATAAAAAAAATAAATCTTGAAATATTTCTCTTTAGTATGTGTTGATAAAGTTGATCATCAGGCTCTAAGGACTGTTTCATGGTTTTCCAATGTAAAACACAGTAATGTGATTCCTTACCAAGTTGTGAGCCTTATTACTGTATGCCATTCGATCTTCAAAAGTTATTTATTGAATCTGAACAACTCTTTATTATCACAGTTCAGGAGTATTAGAACAGAAGTTATTAAAAGCAAAGTCGCTTTAAAATGTTGAGCTCTTAAACATTGCCATTAAAATGTAACTTTCACATTAATATACAGTTGTATATGAACTTAAGACACATATTTTTTTTAAATCCTTCCTATTCAGTAAGCTAGTATTAATGATGAGGTAGTAATAATCAGATGAGAAATTGGTTTATTTTGGGAATAACTCACAGATCAATGCAAATGAAGTCAAATACTTTAATTTCTACAACAAAGTCAAACCAAATATTTATTAAAAAAATAGACAACTCACATTTTACTTTATTAGTTCAACATAAAGGTTAGGTCTTATAAAAGCACCATCACCTCACAGTGAGACTCAATGGTAAAAACAACATTTGTGGCTTCATTTAGGATTCTGGGATTAATATTGGAAGTTTCCACTTCTTCATGTTGACGCTCTTTCATTTGAGGTTTTGTAAGTCGGCAGAAATGGTAGATACTGGAAACATTTAAACCTTTTCAGAAAACTGTTACAGAACGGGATGTCGTAGCATGACAAATCAGAGGAATTTAAGCCGTCCTCTTGCACTTTATCCTGCCAGCTCTTGATGCCTCTTTCTTTGTCCGTGCCTAAAAAGAGAAGAATGGGTAAGCTGGCAGCAACAATGAACTTAGTAACAATTTGATGTTTTATATGTTTTTTCTCTACCTGGAATCGTATTATCAAGAAGAAACCCAAAAAATCCACCGATGAACATATGTGTTGTGAACAGCACTGTGATCACCTGGTCCAGCTCTTTTATTCCTTTAGTAGGGAATAAAAAAAGGTTAAGCACCTTTAAAAAGATTGTGGTGTATCTTGAACCGTATAAATGTCAAAGGTCTTGGTCAATTAAGTTTAAGTTTCTGAAACAACAATAATTCCATGAAAAAGTAGAGATTTTTGTTGGCATTTCTTTTTTCACTTATTTAATATGCAGTTTTCAAATGGTAAGCTCATTACAGGAAAACAAACAAACAAACAAACAAACTCCCTTTTATGTTCAAAGTTGAACAGTTTAAGCCCACTCTTCTTTGAACTATTCTTTTAAAGGGACAGTATTATATGAATTTCAGCCATATAGAATAATTTTAAAGCACAATAAAGTAACCATGTTTCCTTCCCTTGTTATAAAAATGCTGCATAAATCAAATATGACTCCAAATAAATTTGACCTCGTAATTTAACACCTATAAATTGGACCAGAAATTAACACAGATATTGCTCTGCTCAGAACATCTGGGAGGTGTTTAAACAGTAGGCTAGTAGCTAGCATGCTAACACTAGCTTGTTTCTTCTCAGTGATGAGTTTCTGGTCAATAATTTGGATCAGGACATGTTCTCTTTGAAGTTCCAATTAATTGTGTGGGAAATATATATATATATATATATATATATATATATATATATATATATATATATATATATATACTGGTGACATTTCTGTCATGTTACACCAGCATCTGATTTATAATCGCATCGTAGCCTACTGAATCGAATCAAATTGTAAAGTGCCTAAGAATTCCCGTCAATAGATTCTGCCCTTGTCACTTTTCAGTGTGACTTGGAAAGTCATTTACATTGATGTATGTAAATACATGTATAATGTATAATACATGTACAGCACATATATGTAAAATTGTACCAGCATATACAATTGTAACATTTAGCTAAATACATTAAACTTAACAAATTTAACAGTCAGTTAGCTAAATTGTTTTAGCTAATTTACTGTTAGCTAAAACAAACAGTAGATCAAGCAGTAAATTAAAATATGTAGACTTAATTATTTCTTTTAAAAATCATTATCACAATCATTCCTCCCTGGAGAAAGAATGGTTCAAATTCAAAATTTATCCAGAACTTCAATTCAAAATGTAAACTTAAGATTGTATCCGTTTTCTTTATTTACCATTAAAGCTCTCATGAGCTAACCATTGAGAGCTAATGAGAAAAACAAAATTTAAGCTGATAGTAGATGAAGATTATGAAAGGGATAAAAAAAATAAACTGTTGGAGGACTGAATGGCTGCTTACTTTCCTGTGAGAACGTGAGCGTACGGGATGGGGATATTTCCTGAGTGGGTGATTAAAGCGTCAAAAAGAAACCAAAACAAAACAAAAAAAGGACATTAAAGAAATCCCACAGCATTTCACTTTATAAATCTGTGTGTCAGTTACTCGGCTGAAAAACTTAACTGATATGTTTTTATTGGAACGGCCTATTCTCAAAAGCTCCTTTTTTTCCAAATCTGGAGGTGCCACAAACAAAATTCCAATTAACCTTTCTAGTATTTGTTCAAGCCTTAATCTTGGAAATGAATGTCTTCATCATTGCCAAGAAAAACTAAATTAAGGTCCAGGAATAAATAAATCCATCAAAAAAGGGGAGAGAAGAATGTTTTTTTCTGAAACTTGGAACAGTCCAGTGGCCACACACTCTTGTTAAAATTCCAGGGTGTAGAGCTTTAAAAAGCTGAGAACGTGATAAGTAATTTCCAAATGTTTTCCAACAATTAATGTTGCATATATACTGTGGCAATTATAATGAAAAACAAATCTCTAAAATAAAAAACAAAAAGTGTGCACACCCGATTGCATACTAACACTAACTCTGTGTAGGAAAATCTTCAGGTTTAATTTCAACATTCACTTTGATCATCATAGATTGTTAGCACATCTCTTCTCCCCAGCTCCCTTCAGAATTTTGACTCTGGTTAGATCATTCCCAAAGTTACAAATTGCTCATCAGCTTTCCAGAAGACACATGTGGATTTTGGCTCTGTAAGCCACATTGAAGGTTCAATGAGCCCAAAACCTTTGATGATAAAACACAAAAGGCTGTGATATGTGGTGTCACAAGTTCATCTATGCAGGCCAAAAAATAATAAAATTAAATTTTGTCTGAAGAAAAAAAACCCACAGAACATGATGTTATCACCACCATGTTCACTGTGGTTTTGGTGTTGTTTGGGCGATACTCACTGGTGTTTGGTGTTACACATATTTTACAATTGTGGTCTAAAATTCCCAGTTTAGAGCATATTCTCCCACATGACTTTGGAATATTTTAGCAAAACTTAGTGTTTAAATAAAAAAAGATATCTGTTTTGTACTTCTTGCTTCAGAAATTTGTAAAATCCTAATATGGTGTGGAATATTTTTTACACCCTTCTTCCAGCTGATAGTTTTGTGGTTATGGCTTCATTGCACTGATGAGTAGGTATCAGCAAAATCATGTTTGGCTTAGCTGAAGTGTTTTTTTTTATTTACCAGATTTACTGTATTTGGCTGGAGGGTTAACCTCAGTAAGAATGAATGCTTACACTGGAAAAAAAAAAGCCTTAGTTTAAAGGTTTCCATACACAAATGCTAAGCCTAGCTAGCATGGCTACCGGTGATGGCAGATAAACAGATTTTCTGTGATGGTAAGTTGTTTCTCTGCCATTAGCACATTGAGATGTATGTGTATGTACAGTGGTTCAGTGACAGCACTAAGACCTTTCTCAGAGCTCTGATTGGTTGTTTTTTGAATGGGAGCGGTACATCTATCCAAAACGGTAACAGGAGCTCTGAGAGGAGGTGGAGGAGCTCCATCTTTTCACAGATTATCTGTGTCATACCATACTGTCACTACATGGTGACAATTTGAAAAAAAATATGTGAGAACCATATTTTTGTCAAAGTTACATAGTGCAGCTTTAAGAAGGTAACATGGCAGGACTGATTGAAGAATGATAGATTCAAGGAAAAAAAAATACATCACCAGAAGACTGAGGTCTTCAAGCATTAAAAATCAGAGACGTCAAGAAGGTCTTCTGGTGGTAAAAGGGAACCCTTTGTTGTCACCAGACCCTTGAGTACTGAATTTCTCAGTCAGTGTTGGCCTTTTATGTGGCATGTTTGACCACCAGCATAAGGGTAAACACAGAGGACTATTGAGTGCGAATGCCAGCATGTTGGATGCCCTGGTTTCATAACTTCCCTCCGGCAATAAACCTCCTAATGTAGTTGTATCGAATTGAATCAAGAACTGAAAACAGCACTGACGTAGTTTTAATCTGAACGCACTCTTGTTTGGTTAACCCAAGACACACACACACACACGCCAGCATGCCCAAGCAAGCTCACACACACACACACACACACACACGCAAACAGGAAATTCTCCTGCCCAGAGAGATGCCAGTCAAAAGTTCATGGTACCTGCTGAGCTTACTGGAACTCACACAGCCGGTAGTTTTAAGAATGTCTGGAACAGGCGACGATTTGTTTACAAAGAGCATCGAGAGGCCTCGATCTTGTTGTGCGGACAAATCAGCTGAGTGTTGAAGCTAGAGAAAGACTCTAGAGAAGGGTGCTTTATTTGATCCGGGCAGATTACAGCCACTGTCATGGGGGCCAGCCAAGAGGATTTGGGAGGTAAGCAGCCTAGACCTGAGAAAACCAGACAAGCCTTTATGTCCAGTGATGACTCTGGATTAGCACTTCCCTTGGAGACACTCGCATCACATGACTTATAGGATCAAAGTCTTATGTCTGCATAGAAGAACTGTTTAATCTTTGGGATTGCTCTTTTGACAATGCCTTCATAGAGGGCCACCACAAATGGTCTCATTAAAACCAGTCGACATAGCATCAAGAGCAGCTAACAGCCTGCGACTGACGTGGTTTTGACGTCTTCAACTCATTGCACATTTTCTCCCCGTCTATTTCAACTGGATTGATGTGTTTTTCTGGCTGAGGCCATATCTATACCCCTGTATAAGTACACAGGGGTATAGATACCGTACGGGTGGGAATTTATCGTATTGTTTATTATTTATCATGATAAATTTCGTATTGTGATAAAAATTTTGATTTATCGTTGTAACAATAAATTCCTATTAATGAAGTTCAAAAAACTGCATGTATTGTTCAGATTATTTCTTTTTTTATGATTTTCTCCACTGTTTATTCAATGAGAGTATCAACAATACTAATAAATATGAAAATATAGTTAAATTAAGTTACAGTGTGCAGATTATGGATATAAATCACCCTTCTTTATATTAATGATGTGCTAAAGAAGCGTATTAAAAATGGGAATTTTTTTCAAGACTAGTATTTGTGGGGGTATGAATGTTGTGTCATGCAGTCACAGTCAAACAGTTGACTAAGAACTGTTTTGTTTATTGTTATCAAAACAGTACCACAAAATAGTGATAAAACCTGAAGGCCATATCACCAACCACAAGACAATTTTTCTTATGTGAACTGAGATTTATGTTAAGTTTCTAAAAACTTAACATAAACACCATAAAGGAAGTTTAAAAAAATGTCTTTTGATGTTTTATTTACAATTCTTGAGCAATTTTACCCCTATGCTTTCACTTTTTGAAAATTCATCTTTGGTCTATGAGGTTTAAGTCTTTAAGGCTTTAAGTCTATGAGGTTGAAAAGTCCATGCCCTAATCTTCAAACCCCCTTTCAATCAGATCTAACTCAATCTTGGTCACTCAAAAACATGGATATGACTTCACTCACAAGAAACATGTAGATTGAATTAAAAAAAAAAATTCTTATTATGTCTTATTATTTACACCCAGTGGCGCAAATGATATTGGGATTAGCTGCACTGAACTAAAAGTGCAACAAAAGACTCATTGACTAGTTCCTACACCTAGAAGTCTACTTTAATTTCCTCCTGATGTTTTGTCTCTTCATCTTTTTGGAGTCTCTGTCTCTCTCTTGCAAAGCAGCAAAGACACTACCCACAGCCACCACCATTTGTGGACACTGGTACACACAAACAACCCAGAGGTACCAGTTAACCTGGACTTAACCCAGATTAGACCCTGGGCATAGGTTACAATGCTCACCTGTCACCTCAACAGTTTAATTCTCGCCTTTGACCCGTTGCACCACTTATGTCATTCTGCTTATGCTTCCACCAGCCCACACATATATGAGTAGCACAGCAGACCAGCTTTACCTACAATTATCTAGTTAGATGGTTAAACGCATTAACAGAAAGGGTCACTAATGTTCCAGAGTATAAAACATCCCCTGTGATCCGCTTTTTATTTCATCTGTCGTCTTCTTTAAGCTTGTATGTTTTTTCTTTCACAGTCTCACCCACAGTGGGCACACCTTGTGGGGGCTAATAAAGCTTGTTCAGTTCATCTGGTTGTGCTGGGAAGCTTGGAAAACAAAACAAAACAAAAAAAAATTCCTCCATACCCAGACCCTAACAAGACACAAGCCAAAGAGTACAAAATCTGAGAGGAATCAAGGATCAAGAGCATAGAAGACACAGCATTGCCCCCAGCAGGCTGAACTGGTCCTTACATGCCAATGGAACCCATCTGATTGGTTTGGCCTGACCGAACAAGCAACAAACTAAATCCATCTACTCCCTCTGTTGAGTCTGACAGCAGTAGAAAAATGATGGAAAAACAACAACATATTTAGATCTGTTCAGGTAAGACAACAGTAAACTCTGTCCTTGTCACTTGGAAATCCAGGCTGAAGGCTAATGATAAACTGTTAGCCATCTGGGGCCTCTGGGATTTGGCAACACCTTCCCTTTAGAAGCTTAGGCTGGCAGAACCGCTCCCATCTTTTCAAGTGTAATCTGAAAGTCGAAACACAATGGGAGAACACTAATATTTTCAGTCATCAGCCTGACAAATGTTATTTTTTTTGGCAAATCAAAGCTATTATCTTTAATTAATCAGATGGTGGTTTCACTTTAGCCAACGACCGTGACTGCTTCAGGATGCATACCAAAGAACACGGGCACCAACAAGGGCTACTTCTCATGGGAGAGCTACACAACAACAACAACAACCAGATACAGTAAATGTCATTCAAGCATAGCAGTCTTGCTGATACTGATAAACCAGTGATGAAAATATGGTAGTTCCTAAATGATAAGCCAGTAAGTTGTTGGCACAATTTGTCAAACAGTCCTTCATCCTGACAAGCTAATACAGCAAGTTATGATCTTACAACCTGTCAATTTAACACAGGTATAGAACACACATGGTTAAATGAGAAAAAAACATTTAAAAAATAAAACGGCGTGCTGGTTGTTACTTTGTTCTGTGAAAGTTTTCTTAGCAAATTTTGTCACATTACAACCAACAAATTGCAATGTATTTTATTATGATTTTAAGCAAAAGTGCAGCAGAAAGTAGGAACATACGCATGGTTTACACATTTTATTGACAAACTAAACTGGTACCCCCCAAATAAAATCCAGTACAACAACTTGTCTCACTACCTGCAATTCTTGCATAAGCATAAAATTGTGCAAATTGAAAGTACCAAAATAAATTTGATAATTGCAACACGGAAATTTCAAAAAAACATGTTTTTCGGTAAAACGTTTTTGTGCTAAGATGAGGAGGTTTTTCAGTTGAACTGAAATAGGTATATTTTGCAAAACTGCAATGGAAACACTTCAACGCACAAAGCAAAGCAACACACAACATGAAAATTAGCAAGACAAGAAGCCACAAAAGGCAAACATTCACTACATTTACTACAGTGCTGCAGTGGGAAGAACTTATTAGGATTCAGCAAAGTTATCCACTTGTGTTCTTATGAACTTTGTCAAATCCTGAAAGGGTTTTATTCTTCCAACATCTTGTAAAAGAAGAAATCAGAACCTACAGGCCTTAATTCATTATTAAAGAAGGAGCCAAAAAGCCCATCATAATTCTGGTGAAGTTGCAGAACTATCCAGCTCAGGGTGGAGAATCTGGTGAAACCAAAGCTAATAGTTGCATCTACCTCCAACCTGGCCTTCATAAAGGAGTCGATAGAAAAAAGACCTTTTGTTTCAAAATAACCACAACTTTCTGTTAGGAATGAGACATTTAGCCAAGAGGTTCATTTGTGAGGAAATCTATGTAGGTTAAATTGATTTTAAGTAGCATATTAGAATATAAAATATATTGCCGAATTATTTGTTGCAAATTTGTAATGCACGACCCCCTAAATCTCAGGTTTTCTGTGTATACACACCAGCACTAAAACAGACTTTTCTCAAATCTCCTCTTTGGTTGGAGTTGTTATAAATAACTGTTGTTTGTGAAATTAAACAAAGTTTTTATGTGGCTGAAAGGAAAAAAAAAAAGAAATAAAAATTTATTTGACTTCCCAGATATCTGGCTACATGTGGACTAGGCATAACATACAAAGGTGTAGGAGATGTGCATAAATGCACTTTATTGGGGGTAATTATTATTTTTTGTTGTAATGTTTTTCAACCTGAAAAGCTTTTAAAAGAGAGTCTATGGTAACTTTACCTGTGTCAATGATGCCTGGATTGGAATGAAACCAGGTAGGAAGCACAAGTCCACTGAAGGTAGAAAAACCAAGGATGAGGAGGTTGCGGGAAGAGTTGAGATCAACATGCTAAAGAGAAGGAGGTGGGAGGAAACAAGCAAGAATCTTTATTTTCCCATGACACAAAATTGTCAGTACTCAACATGAATAGCAGCAGGTTAAGACAAATGCACACGGAAACTTTATATCTGTTCCATCTGCATTGGGCCCTTGTGTGTTTTTCCATTTGCTTAAAAACTGAAATACAATACCAAGGTGTCAGTTCAATGCTAAATCTGAATACTTTGATATTGCAACCAGGCATTGTGTAAATGGTACACTGAACTGCAGCTCCCTCCAGGTTTTGCTACGTATAACTTTGACTCGAGGGAGCTGTAGTCGTTCAATGCAAACAAAACAGTTGTTGGATGAATAAAAAAAGGAGCCAAAACGTATAAAGTTTCAACTATTTTACAAAGACTGATAAAAGAAATTCTTTAAAGGAAAAATACCTCATTGGGGTGGGACTTCAAACACTAATGAGATGGTGAGTCAGTGCTTTGCGAGAGCAAAGTGGAGATTTCTATGTTCTGGGTGTTACTTTCTTGCAAAAGCTTCCCTGGACTCCCTGCTGCTTGTTTTCTTTAACATTTCTTAAAAAGCAGCGTGAGACCTCTATGATCCAGCCAAACAGTTATAGTCTAACGCAAATAAAACCAGCACATAGTTGTTATTTATTATTTGAGCACTCCAATATTTTTCAGTTTCAACAAATGTTCTGCCAGATCTCATATTAACTTGTCTATAGCGGAGAAGGAAAGAGCAACATATAATTAAGCTTGCTATTAAAACTAAAGACCTCAGTTAACACGTTGAAACTTGATAGGAGCCATTTCTGATAGAAAATCTTTCCGAAACCTTTTAACATTTTTTTATGCAACAAATAAAAAGAAGCACACAATTAATTGAGAGGTGGAAGAAAATGCAAAGTTTATAACACTTGGTATTCCAGGTAAAAATCTGTAAACCATGTGGAGCGTATTTACGCTAAGCCCTCCAGATTCAATACTCATGAAGCACATTTTTCTGCCATTAGACCTCTAAGTCTTTTGGTACATCAGTTTTGCACATGTAGTTGACTGGTTTGGGTTTTAGCTAATAAACAGGGACTTGGTGTCAAAAGGTAACTTTTCATTGGGACACACAGAAGTCGCATGTAGGGTATCCCAAGGTTCCAGCTAGCTCAGATTTTAACAAGTCATAACATTAGCTACCATAGCTATGCAGATGATATACAGCTCTACATTACAATGTCATCAAACGACTCCGAACCTGTCCATGTACTGAACAGATCTTTAGAACAAATCAATGTGTGGAGGTGTCTTTGCTTTCTTCAGCTGAACATAAACGAAACATAAATAAAACTGAGACTATTATCTTTGGACCAATAGAGGAATGATCAGCATGCAACTTCAGATTTTGTAGCTAGATACTATCAATCAAGCCTGAAATCAGGGGGATTCTATCACCTGAACAACATTTATAGTCTCCTGACTACCAGTAGTTCATTTTTGTCCTCTGTAGAGGACATTTCTAGACTTGAATATCTCCCACCCCCTGCATTCTACTGAATTAATTCCTTTTGGTATCTGGAGAGGACATTTAGGGCTTTTCAATGATACCACATGTGAAGGGGTGGAACTTTTGTACGTACCTTTTTCTAATTCATAAAAATGGCGTTCATCAGTAATAACACATTTTATGGGAAGAGACAAAGTAAGTGCATAAAACCTTTTATTACCTTACAAAGACTGTGGGATTTAAAAAAAATGGTGATTGGACAACATCTTTTTTTCCTGGTAGTCAGGAGGATAGGATTAAAGGACTAAAGACCCAGCAAGATAAAGAGAAACTCATCCAAGTCTTTATCTTTAGTTGCGCCACATGATCCAGAGTCCTGCTGCTGGCATTCTCACTACAACCAGGAAGATAGAGCACATCGCAAAGTTCTAAAGTTCTAACACTGGCACCTTGTAGCTCAGAGAATAGACTAAAATACTTTCATTAGTTCATAAATCACTGAATGGCTTAGCACCAAAATACATTACAGTCCTGATGTTGTCATGTCAACCTTCCAGAAAACTCAGGTCTTCTGGTTCAAGTCTATTTTGTATCCCCAAAATGAAAAGCGAACTTGGAGAAGCAGTTTCTATACTCCACTAATCTGTAATAAACTTTCAAAAAAATTCAAAACAGATGAAACACTTAGTTCCTTTAAATCAAGGATAAAAATTCACCTGTCTAGAGTTGCCTTTGACTGGAACATTGATCAAAAATATTTGTTGACAATTATTTTTGATGATAGCATTTGACAATTTTAATGTTGCTTGTTTCATAATCAGTAAAAAATTTGTATCATGTAAAGCATTTCAAAATACCTTGTGATATACAAAAACTTGATTTGACTTTACAAAATAGTTGAAGCTCATTCTGATTGGATAGATAGTTATTGTGAACATTGCTTTGAAAAGAGGTGTTCATTTATTGATTCCCAGAGGCAATTCAGGCCTAAATACAAAAATTAATTTTGTAAAAGAAGTTCTTAAAACAAATAAAATTAGGTGGTGGAAAATTATGATTTTTTTTTCTTTAAAAAGTGTTGGTGTTGTATGCATAAATATTTAGCCACCCCCGAGTCAATACAGTGTAGAATCAGCTTGTAAAGCGTCTGTAAAACACAAACAAAAAAAAACAACTTAATGTGTTTACCTGAAGGTTGGATATCCCCACAGCTGCAATCATGCCAAACATGACAAGAAACATTCCTCCAATGACTGGGTCCGGGATGGTGATAAAAACTGCTCCAAACTTCCCAAAGACGCCCAGGGCAATCATCAAAACTCCTGTTGTCTGAAGGACGAGACGGCTGCCAACCTGAGATGAAGCAATGAAAATGAAGATACTTGGCAACCCTGATTATATTTGGAAATGTATGGTTTAAACATTCCTCTTGGTCTGACTTTAATTGTTGAATATTTGGAAGCGTGGCCAGCATGGACTGAACGGCTTTGTTCACTTTCTTCGCTGACTTTGCAAAAACTGCGGCCAAACTATAATTTTGAAACAGTGCAGAAACTCAGCATCACCATTAACAAATTCTACTTCTGTTCGCTGATTGGCCCAGTTGAAATTAATCATGAGAAATCAAGCTCAACTGGAAAAATCCAAGACAAAGTACAGAAAGGTTCTCGACAGTCATTAGATCTCAGCTTAGTGAAATACCATGTTGCACATATGCAACATGGTATTGCATACCTATGTTGCAGTACATGGGCATGCATCCACATATTGTGGCACACACATTAGATGTTTTGGAGCAAAATGCATAATGTTTTGCTCCAATCTCTTTAACAACTGTAGCTGCTTTTCGAATGATGATTTAATTTTGCAATTTGACAATTTCAAAAATAAATTTGCTTAATGTAAATACAACAATTTTAAAAAAACAACTCGTTTTATGATAAAAAGTTTTGGCACTAAGACGAGGTGGATTTTGGTTTTATTGAAAGTGTTGTATTTTCTAGAACTGCACTGGAAATACTTTTTTGCTTCACTCGCGTCACAGATCACATTGGCCTCACCCTGTTTATAGAAAACTTACAATAGCTGAGTTATACTTGACAGGAGATGGATTACCAGCAGATTTGATCGGTGCAGTAGAAGCTCACAACAGACTCACATTCCAACTACCTACTTAGACACGCACTCAACATTTCTATTTCCTTTCCTCATATTTGTTTGGCAGGCCTGAACAGATAACAGTAATGAATTTCCTACCTGTCACATGAGTGAACTCACTGTTTAAGTGTACTGGCTTCAGAAAGCAGGACAGTGTGTCACACAACATGATGTATGCGTGATGAGTGCGCTGGTTTAGGATGTGACCACATGTATCAGGTGAAGCTCTGCTTGCTTTTTTATATTTGAATAAACCAGCGCTACTTCAAAGACAGAAATGAAGACTCTTGTTAAAGTTTCAGTTAGCAGTTAAATTTTACGGTGCCAAATGTACTTTGTGATTCACTCGGCAAGTGTCCAAAAAGCAGGAATGTTGATGTTTCTAAAGGTGATGCGTTCACTAGAGAACAGGTTTCACAAATCAACTGTGCTGTCCGCTTTTAGACATCAGGCCATCCCCTCAACAAAATGAGACAATGTTTCTAATGTATAATTTAAGGAAATTGAACTTAAATTTTATGATGCCAGAAGGTGAGAAGTCTTCAATCAAAAGTAAGTCAGAACCTATTAGGTTTACAGCAGCTTGTTAAAGGGGCGGTATTATGTGTTTTACAGGCACAGTCACTTGATTATGCTACCAAATGGCACTGTAAACTTCAGTTATAAAAATGCTTTATATATATCAAATATTTTACTTGCTAATTTAATGCCTTAAGACTGGGTCTCTGTCACTTTAAAGACTCCTTTTTCTGAAGCTCAGCCTTCAGGAAGTCATTGTGACATTGCTCCTCTATTAACCCTTTAACAATGTTTTTTTCAGCGTTTCACTGAGAAGTAGCTTGTACGCTGAGCTTAACAGATGTGCAGGTGTTTGCTTATTGCTGCTGGCAAGGCTGAAGGAGCTGAGTGGTGGAGTCAGGAGCAGAGGGATCCTCTGTGGTAGCTTGAAGAAGCTCAAGGAAGAAGCTGCACGTCCAAATTGGTGCTAGGTCCAACCAGGTGTTTTGCACAGCAGAATGGTTGCCACGGGACATCAAAGGATTTCTCAAACATGCATGAAAGAATCAAGGCAACACCTTGATGAGGGATGCTTTTGATGAGGGAATAATGTAACATAATTTAAAGCTCAAAATCTTCAGTTTTACACAATACTGCCCCTTTAACATACATTGCCTTGCAGAAGTAATTATAATAGTTGAGGATTTTCCTATTTTGTTACTTAACAACCACAAATTTATAGTACAACACAGTGTATTACATAATTGTGAAGTGAAAGGAAAATTAAACAGGGTGTTCATTTCTTCTTTTTACAAGTCAAATGTGAAAAATATGATCCCTTTCAGTGTAATCATCATTTCAAGTTTTTGGGCATATCTTCATTAGCTTTGCACAACAGTAGGCTGAACTGGCACCCAAGAGCTGTGTACCTTGGTAATTCCAAGTGCAGCGATATTTTGGCTGTAGGAAGTGGTTCCATTCCCAGTTCCCCACAGTGCGGCCAGGATGCAGCCCATGCCCTCAACGGCGATGCCTCGGTTGATGGCATGAATGGGTGGTGGAGGAGCACCAGACAAGCGAGCGCAGGCGTAGTAGTCACCAATGGATTCCATGGTAGATGCCAAAACGCCTGCCATCATTCCCAACACTGAGGACAGGCTTACAGTGGGAATACCCCATTGACCTGTGGATAGAAAACTAATTTATCATTCTTCATTTTCCAAATGGCTGTAAATTTCTCATCATACCATGAGTTTCCGAAACCACACACACACACACACACACACACAAAAAAAAAACCTTGTAAAAGCACACGCAGGGTCACTGCAACCCCGGCAGAACGCACACAGGGTAAAACGCTCATGGTGTCCAATGGACAAATTCTTCAATTTTTTTAGACATACTGAATTGTCATACTAGAATAGAATTAATCAAGTATAGAACGTAATTGGTTGGATGGTTTAATACTAGACTCGGTCATTAATTAAATAATGGGGAAAAAATAACAAAGAGTCATCATCAGACCTTTCATAGTTTCTACTCTTGTATTTCATTTTCCACTTCTCTGGGGGAAAAAAGTTATTTTGGATTTTTTACAAGGAGCATAGAAAAATGGAATCCACATAAAAACCAAATGGAAATGTAGAAAGTAAACAGTTTGCCTCAATTTTACGACAGTTCAGTTATGAAATTTAAAATATAAAGATCATTGCTGTTGGATACCATGGACTGCAGTCCCTTTAATAAACATGATGAAAACCTTGTAAGAACTGGAAGCATGGATGCCATTCATTACACAATATAACAGGCTATCACAGTAAGTTTGTAAAGAATCATCTTTAGGTTTTTTTACACCAAAACTATTGTTCCAACTATAATGAGTAATTGAAGTAACTCTTGACGCTCTGTATGAATGTTTTGTTTTGTTTTACTTTATTTTATTCATACAAGTCTATAACCCACCTTGTGCTTGCCAAAAGAAAAAGTCTTTGCAAAACTTCAGCAGGGATCATTTCTGCTTTAGGAAAGTGTTTTTCTTTCCTAGCATTAAGTATTTTAGAAAACAACACACCACAACATAGCAATTTGAACCTGTATGCTATTGGTGTACATCTCCATTCCTCAAGGGCTGGCTTTCTGCCAGTTCTAGTTGTGACTCTGTTCCAATGTAGCTCATTCAAATGGTTCAACTACCTGCTCAGCATGTCAAAGTTCTGCAGAAGCCTACTGATTACAATGATTTAATTCAGGTATGTTGAACCGGAGATGCAACTAAGACATACAAAACCTTGGAGGACTGACTTTGGACACCGTTGCTCTATGCACTTAAATGTAAAACATCCAACAGATGTTCACAATTTCTTCAAGTGGAGGATTTGACATGGTATTGTCTTTAGATGCACTTGCAGTATGTTAATTCCTCAGATGGATAACAAAGATACTCTGGCTTGTGGGATCCATGGCTTGAAAGCAGATGGTGATTTCTTTGTATTTTTCTGAACTGTGATGCAGTTTGACTTGGTACTGCATCACTTGTAAAGTAGCCTGAAATTCTAATCTATAACATTTTGGAATGTCAAGGTACAAATATAGGATGTTTGCAGGTATCACTTTTATGTCAGACTTGCAGGAATACCAGAAACATGATACAAAGGTTCCGGCTTGGGACTTTTGCAAATGAATTAAAAATGAAATTAATTGCATTAATGGCCAAAAAACCCATTAACATAGTTGACTGTGGGGATATCCCTAATCATAGGTCAACACACAGTGGTAATCATGTCTTTGACAATACAGACTGTTATTGTTGGCAACTAAAATTAGCATAACTTAATACAAAATGATACATGGAGAGTTGTTCTGATGTTCTGCTATGTGAATGCGCTCCTGTTCATGGAAATGCCAGGATTAGTCTCTCTTTGTGAGTCAGGTGAAATAAATTACTGGCTCCAGAAAAGAAAAAAAAAAAATCAAGTAAAGCAGTTGTCAGGACTTGGATGCATGCAGTATTGAGTCAACATATTTTCAACCCGGATAAAAGCACAGTTATCAAATGATTACTGTTTCTAAATTAATCCAGCTCATGTTGAAAATTTTCAATCACAAATTCCAAGTAACTTACTAAAAGTGAATATTGACAGCAATTTGATGAAAACTAATTTAAGTCAACATACTATTTTCAATTAAACACAAATTTGCATTTGCAGTGCAGGGGTTTGTAGTCATAATGCACACCCTAATAATGTGACTTACTTACATGTACCGTGCAGCCATAGCTTCAATTAAATAGTTAAAATGAAAAAATCTCCATGTGTTAGAAAGGATCAGTCAAGGCCCAGAACTAAATTAAATTGGGAATCTGTGGCAACAAAACTGCTTTTCCCCAGATGTTCTACATTTTGTTCAGTGACATTTTTGACAATTCTTCTTTGCAAAATATCTCAAGTTCTGATGCTAGATTGTCTGATGCTAGACCAGGTAATTGAGTGAGCATGCATTCAACTGCTATAGTACACTGACAACTCTGTTTTCCAACATATGCAGATCATTAGGCAAATTTGGGTCCCTTTGGGTGCTTCCTCAAAGGCACATTGACAGTTAGCATGGGAAACAGACCTCTTGCTATTTGTCAAATGACTACTCATCCCACTAAGTCACTACTTCACCCAAAATTGGTAGAAGTATTTAGATACCTACATAGGCTTCTGTACTTGCAAGGAAAGGTTGTTCTACAAAGTATTGACTCAAGGAGGTTAAATGAGAGACACACTTTTCAGCTTTCCTTTTGGGAAACTCCATGCTTTCTTGTCATTTCACTTTACAAATATCTACCACTTTATGTTGGCATATCATGTAAAAACCCCATCACATATCCTAAAACTATGATTATAGGATATGAAAACGTGAACACTTGCTCAGTTAATATATTCTACTCAACAGGAGGTGTGTTGCAGATGCCATGAAATCATAAATTGTGCCTTGTCCTTTGTTCCTGTTCCAATAGTGAATTTAACTTTAGGTGAGATGTGCATTACATTCATTGACTAGACACTGCATATTGTGAAGGACATGGTTTAAAGGGGTGGGGGGAGAACAAGAAACATATACTGAAATCTCATAGCCATGGTTATACGAAATCATTTACAAGACGATGCCCTCGATTTGCACTCAGTTTTGATGCTCGTCAAAGACTGGACGAATGGCAGACTGGCAGAGAAGTTGTAGTATATGTAGGAGAAAGGACCTTTATGCTACCCTAACCTCTGAAACATGAGAACCAAAGTTGCAGTAAAGATTAAGAAAGTAAAGCTAAATATTACATATCTAACCACCCCCTCATCAATCGACAATGAGAGTAAAAAGAAAATACTCTCTTTCAATTCATTTTTTACATGTCAGTAAAATAAGACTTAGTCTTCAATTTACACCCTTGATTAAAGCTGCAGTATGTACAGTAACTTTTAAAAACAATATGTTTTGAAAATAATTGTGAAAAATATCACCATGTTGTGACAGTATGGCTTAAGAAAGGTAATCTGTGAAAAGATCATGCTCCTCCACCTCGTCCTTGTACTGTTATAGCCGTATAAAGAAATGTGCCACTCCTCATCAAAAACAACCAATGAGAGCAAGGAGGAGTGTTGTTAGACACTTTTCCACAATTTTGCTTCTCGCTATGGGCAAATAGTCCATAGTCCTTCTTGAATCGTCGTGTTGTTCGCCCTTCGAGCATACCGCATGCAAAGGCATCTGACACACTGCTCATGGAAGCCAGGATGGCCGAGCGGTCTAAGGCACTGCGTTAAGGTTGCAGTCTCCCATGGAGGTGTGGGTTCAAATCCCACTTCTGACAAAAAACCTTTTCTCACTTGCCTGGACTCCACTCTCAGAGTCGTCGTTTTAACTCGACTCCTGGACATTTTGTGTAAGTAAGTAAGGTGTTGAAATGGAGGACCAATTGACTGACTCTGCTTTTGGTATTAACACATGTAAAGACTGAAATGAACCCAATAGTTAGAGAGAAAATGACACTTTGCAGAGCTCTCAATCAACCAAGCGGTTTTCACGTGTAAGTGGATTCTCAGAGCAAAGACAACATTGACTGATCTGCATGATGTCAGGATGGCCGAGCGGTCTAAGGCGCTGTGTTAAGGTTGCAGTCTCCCATGGAGGCGTGGGTTCGAATCCCACTTCTGACACATTTCCTTGCATTTAAGAAAGTGCATCATGTTAGTGCTGGAAAAAGGTGCAGTTTGAGGCAGAGCAACAGAGTTCATGGACAGGTTTGCCACTAACATTTGTGGGAGATGTTCAGTGGTTCTCCAGAATAAAATCATTCAACCCACACTATGCTAACAACTTTAAAGGGGGCCATGGGTGCAATGCAAGTACACAACCCATAATTGGGC